CCGAGAGACAGAACGGAAGTTTGTTTAATAGATAATAAGCAATTACGTTATAATAATGTAGTATGTGTATACACATATATATTCTATAATGATTTACACACTGTCAATCGAATATGCACATAGTAATAACAATAGATGACAACGCCCACGATAAATTTCCGAGGCAAGCCCTATTAATCCGTCTCTTCGAGTAGATCGTAAAAGACAAAGACAAAGAGTTGTATTCGTGTCAATGTATGTATATAGGGTAGAGCGAAAAATTTTTATCATTAGTAACGTCTTATTTTTAAAGTTATATTGAATAATCATTCAAATAAAATACGCGTACTATTAACAATCAATATTTACGATAAGCGAGAGAATTTCTTGACCAACGTAGTACTTAAAAAATTTTCGAATTATCGTAAGAGTTTTAAATGATGACAGAAAAAAAAATCCATCATAAAAATTTGTTTTGTCATTATTAATATTTTAATGATTAACAAATGAATATCATAATATATCTTGCGAGTTTTATATTTTAAATAAATAATATAAATTTTAAACGAGAGAAAAATTATTTGATAAAATTTGTAATAAAAAGGAATTTTGAAAATGACAAAAGTTAATTTTTCACCCTGTATAAGGAAATGTAAAGCGATGAGTATTATACCGTATTGAAACGATGTTACTACCATGACTTTTCTGCTCGATTATGTTTCAGTCAAGAAGGCGATCTCGCGTAACGTATTACGACGTTCGATCATCCTAAAGACTAGACAAACCCATGTACTATGATCTTGCCTATAAAAGATGTTGCAAAAATAAGTGAGCCGTAGTAGTACTTACAAAATAGAGATGTCAACATCAAAAAGTAGTTCTCTTTTAAGACTTAATCAAGAAAGTCGGCATATTACCGACGATTGGCAAACTCGCGAAACCGATTCGGAAATAAGCGACAATGATTTTATTACGAAGGGTGCATTCCTTTTAACACCTAGCCATGACTTCAATATAGAAAAAGCAGCGGCCATTTGTGAAAAAATGAACTTCCGGTAAGAACGAAAATAATAATTACAAAAAAGAAAATGTTTTCTCTTTAACGATTATAGATACGATATTAATTATGTTTGTACGTATTTTTTTCTTTCTTCTTTTTTTTTTGTTTCATAAGCCGATCATTTCATTTCTTTAATTAAATATTTTAACACGTCAAATCATTAATGTCGTTGTTCATTTTGCGCGTTTATGAAAATGTAATATGCTAGTTTATTGCGATTTTTAATAGCGCTATTTAAAAAAAAAAAAAAAAAAAAAAGGAACATATAAGACTTTAACGAAACATTAAAATCTTATGTATTATAAAATGTTTCAGCGGAGCATTTTCTTTAACAAAAACAGCTACTGGAATACTTTTTAAATTTAGCAATACTGACGATTATCATGCAGTGTACAAGAAAGGTTTTCATAAAGTAACTGGTGCGCGTTTTTACAAGAAGGTAAAATTTGTAAAAGATTATACTGTATATAAGATTATTTTTTAATATTAATAATAATTTTTACTGTAGATTGCTATACCATGTAGACCAGCGAAGACGTTTACCGTATACGTTTTAGATGTACCAGAGGAATTACCAGAAGATGATATCAGACATGCTTTATTTAAATATCGTTCTATAGTGGAAGTAACGAGGGTACCTTTAGCCACTGGAACTGTTTGTAAGTTTAAAAAGAAATCTTCTTTATCGTTCGTAGGAAAGATTATTATGTTATTTTCGAATTTTTAAAATTTTGTATGTTGATTTAGTAAAAGCCATCAATGATAGATTAAAAAATGAAGCGCAAAACGTAAACGAGCCAGCAACAATCTATACAGGACCACCTGTTATAAGAGTTACCCTTGCTAATTTGGAAGAAACTACTATATTGCTTAGTCAAGGATTAGATTTTTATGGAGCAACTTACTTTCCTACTGACACGCCATTTACTTCATCGCAATCTCTTGTGAAATATAAAAGCAACAGGTTTAACGAGTTATAACTAATAATAATATGGTATAAATGCAAAGGTATCACATTTAATATTTTCTAAATATTTATTTATTTTAGATGGAATGAACTTGCATCAATTTATCCTGGCCAAAGAGTTAGAGATTTATTACCAGTCTTTGACAATGCTGGCTTTGATAAGATTCCACCACCTACAAGTCGTATGATAAAACCACCAAAAAATTGATATAAGAAAAATAAAAGCATTTTTGATATAACTTTGCTTTGATGTCAATTACGTCTGAATAAATATAATAAAGACAAACAACAAATTAAATCGTTCTTAAGTTTTCCGCTTTTTTTTTACTTTTTTTCTTTCTTTCTTTTTCTTTTTCTTTTTTTTTTTTTTCTAATCTTTTTACTATCTTTTTCTACAACTAAATGATATTAATACAGGAATAGTCGATTAAATACTATAGGTTGTATTTTAATATTTTCATGTGTGCCAGTTGCATATAAGCAACAGAAATAATTTTAAATAACTGTATATTATCCTGCTTTGCTTTTTGTGCAAGCAGCTTTTTTTTTTATGGGTTTATGTGTAACATAGCTAAAGATATGTGATCGAAGTACTAGGATTAATTATCCTAGTTGATTTCATTTTTCTTCTAATGTGTATAAAATATATGATATTGGCATATATAAATCTGTATAAGAGCTACGCGATTAAGAATTGGTGATTTTGAAATTTCATACTACATAATGTGACTTTTGGTTTTACGCTCCTTTGTTTATAATTTCACCTGCATGATTTTTTTCTTTCTTTTTTTTTTTAATATTATATAATACAACTACCAATAAAAATAGATCAGGAGAATCAAGTTGTCTCAAAGTTACTTGAGATATAAAAAATTCATCGATTGATCGAATTGAAATATTTTCAAAATCACGTATATAATAAATTTTTCTTTTATCGAAATATGAAGAGCAGTTGCATTATATAATCACTTAAAAAATAAAATGTAGAGATAAATGGTTCACACCTATATCTTTTTAGAGATTCTCTTTAAAACATACACGTTTCCTTGTATAAAGTATACCTTCTAAATTACGTGCGCAAGAAATATATAATTAAGTAATAGATAATGACACAGAGAAATTCTTCATGTATCTTATACAGAAGATAATTCTAAAAACATATGCTTATCTTTCAGTAAACAAAGCATAAGATGAAATATATAATAAAATATAATTATAACAAAATCTTTTCAATCATATATTATCGCGTTTCAATAGCAATCTTAGACTTTAAAGTACTGGTATAATACTAGACCTTAAAGTCTACATTAGAGTAGATATTTCTTAATAATTTTCACGCAATCATTGTTTTTATCATAATACTTCTTTAGACTTAGAATATTAAAAAATTTTATCACATTTAATGTGGATTTTCGGAAACATTTTTAAAAAACATTTAGTGACGAATTGATTGCTATTGCAATCGTTATAATATTACGAACAACGTATTTCTATCATTCCCTTAACAGTGGAAATTTATCACACATATTATCTCGCCTCTATTTCTTTTTCTCGATGTGTATTTTTTCAATGTGTGAATTTTTGTGTGACCTATATATCAAGATCGAATATTAAATCATTTTTGAATTCAGCTTGATCTGAATTTTTAACCGATGTTTCGAGTGTGTCTTCTGTGCTTTCCTCTTCGATGCTACTTTTACGTTTTCCCGAAAGTATTTTTTTAGATTTTTTTAATTTCTTAATTTTAATATAAGCCGATTTCTGTTTACCCGAATGTTTTTCACGACTAAGAATGGATTTCACATTTTCAGAAATTTCTGTTTCTGGTGTCGCTTTCGGCGTAATCTTATACTTATCACGTTCTTCTGTTTCAGAATTTTCGCTTTCGCTTAATTTGCGTTCTTGAGCGCGTTTTTTGTTTCGCAATTTACGTTGATTCTTCTTTCGTTGGCCAAGAATGCTAGAGTTAGATCTGCAGAATTATATTTTATTATTTTTCATGTCCATTCTATTCATCTTTGAATGAGCTTTCTGAGAATGTGACATTACCTGAATAATTGTCGAGATACAACGTTGTTAAATCGTACAGTCTTTTTCAGACTACAACACTCTGACTCCGATTGAGGGTCGTGAATTGAACTGCATGAAAAATCTGCAGAAGAAATAGCTACACCATTTTCGTCTGCACTCGATTCAGATACAGAACGTGAAAAATCATGAGTACGATGCGATTTTAATATTCCTTTCGACATACTACCACTACTACTTGGTAATTCGTCTCCGCTACTTTCCGAAATCGATCTTGACTTTATTATACCTTTCCTATTCTGACTCACATTATGTTGTTCATCTTCTTCATGCTCGTCATCAGAATCCAACTGATTCGAGCGAATATTTATGATGACAGATCTATCCTCTTTTTGAACATCGACTTCTACTGGAACCTCAGAATCTTTCTCCTCTGTATCCTAGGAGTATATGTTCATTGAATCATTTTAAATGTATATGTAATATAACGATATTTAATTGTCTTACCATTAATTCCTTCAATCTATTTTTGAATGACAAGGTGCCTGACAATTCTTTCCTTTCCATGAACTCTTCATTCACACCAACGAAATAATGAGATACATTATCAGAATTATTTAACTTAATACTAAATACAAGATTATTATCCCATGGTTCAATGACAAGTGAATCTTGTTCTATTGAACCTTCTTCTATCTTAAAACATAAGGAATAATGCTGTGGGAAAAATCCTGCACCAACTGATGCGAGTAAAATATGTATTCCTATGTTATTTTCTAAGATTCTATGTTGTATGGAATCTGGGTCAACATTTTTAACATTGACTGTAAAAGCTATTTGATTGTCATACATATTACAGGCAAATGATGGCAATGTATATTTTATATCAGCATTCATAAAGGGCACTGTAGTTTCTAATGAATTAGTAGTAGTCCGCAACACATTATCATCTAAAGTTTCACTGGAATTTATTGAATCCATTGGAATAGTTTTTTCTTCTAGCACTAAATTTGAAAGGGAATCACTCATAGTTGATTCCATGGTAAATAAATTTTCACTTAATTCGTTGGATACGACAGGTACAAAGCTATTGCTATCACTATCCACATCACTATCTTCTTTCGGCATCTCTTCTAACATCACTGATTTACGAATGACCGGTAATATTACTGTTAATTTTTTATATTTAGGATCAAACTTGGCATTACCATGATCTCCATCAACGCAATACGGCAGGGGTAATTGTAAGAAATATTTGGCAGGTTTTTCGCTCTTCAAGTAAAGAGAACGTTCTTGGATATCTAGTATAGCATCCGTTGCCTTTCCTAACAATGGCAAATCTATAATGATAACTAATTTTTTAGGAATAGTTGCATACATCTTTGCATCTCTACTGTTAACAAAATCTTCCATATCAATATCCGTTTGATGTTTTATTATGAATTTTGGAGTAACATATTCCTTGATCTCTGTTTCTAATTTAGAATCATTGTTCTTATAATAAATAGTTTCAGGTGGTGCGCGTTTTGGCTTTTCCTCTCTGTATTTAAATTGTTGCTCACGACTCTCATCATAACTGGACATTAATTTCTGATATATTTCTGGATCCATATCTATTGACTCTTTTAGCGATTCTTTCGATTGTTTCCTAATCACGCTTGGATGAGAGATGCCCTTGAAGTTCATCTTAGGAAATTTAAGATTCTTCCTATCGAGCTTCACCTAAAAATGATAAATAACAACTGATAAACCGAGTAAAAATACATTTGTAAAATTTTGGAAATACTAACCTTAAAATTATTCTCTATACCATCCATAGCAGTGTTATTAACGATGTCACGAAATCTAGCATTCTTCGATGCGAGATAAATCGTGTCAGGATGAAACACAACATCGAAGACCAAGCAACGAATGTTTTTTCTATCAAGGTCATCGCGAGGAGGTATCAGGGTGTAAGGAATTGACCATTGTAAACCACGGTGACCATCCTCATAGGAAGGGTGACTCGTAGGTCGTGCGACAATGTCACTTTTACTAATATTTAAAAAACATTTCTTCTCTCCGTTGACACTAGTTTTTATGACGTAACCAGGCTGGGGGTTAACGAACGTGACGTCGACGCCCCGTTCCTTCTCCAATTGAGCGATCTCCTTTTCATAAATCTTACGATTTTCTGGATCGGTCACTTCTTCCGCGTATTCGATAAGTAATTTACGAAATTCTTCCTTTTTCAGGCACTCCGTTATATTTTTTAACTCTTCCTTGGTAACGTCCAAATCTTCCCAATCTCTTTTACGTGACTCGTACGCGTCCATCTTACGAGGCGATGCGCATTGATGCGCGTGTTTACAAATAAACTTGATGATGGAAGAATCCCGAAGCACACATATACATATACGAAGTATACCACGTGGATCGCTGGCGCCACCATGCCGGCCGGCTGACTATTGACCAATCACAAATCTTCACGTTTTCAAACGTCGCGCGGTATATGTTTATCTGTATTTCTATATGAAAGTTCTAGAAGTTACCTTTAGAAACGTGCAATAGTACGTTGCTTGTTAATCGATTAATAGTAGCTATAACGAATTAAGATATATTTTATATATGTGTGTGTATTATTACGTACTGTTTCAAAAATTAAAAAGATTAATATCATTTCGATTTCGAAGAAAAATACATAAAATATTTTATCGATTTAAATCTATAAGAATGTAATAATATTGAGTCCGAATGAAGTATCAAAACTCAATGAAATAATAAGAATGATGCAATTGATATTATATCATCTTATTTTTAATAATTAACGAACGCTCGTTAATAATTGTTGCGTAAGAGATTGCATTATTTTCTTCTAGTATTACAGATTTTATAATTATATTTGTGACGTTAATGTATATTATTGTAGAAGACGAATCTAATGAGATCTATATTCGAAATTGTTACTCCTTTAATTTCATCCCTTGAGAGTATAAGAAAATAAATAAATAAATTAGATGGTACATATGATTATTCTATAGTACATATATATAGACATGTATCCATATAAATACGTCGTAGAAATCAAATCATTCGTTATAGCTTTCACCGGACACATTTTTATTCGTATCAATTCCTATGACTTTCTCAATCGTATATTAATATTCTTTCAATCTAATAAAATTTTTATTGGTTTCATTTTCTATCCGGCGATTTACATAAATTCTATATATCAAAATGAACTTTGTTCACACAATTGATAATTTTCATTTTTCTCCTATTCAAATAGTAAATAAAACGTACATACATATGCATACGTACATACATATATATATATATATATACACATTAAGAGTTAATTACTCGGTGAAAGGAAATTCAATCGAAAAAAATCATTTAGAGAAGATTTCGAAGTTTAGTCAATGTGAAGAGAAGATGATGGAGATTCAAAGATGATTGGTTTGACATTGAAATAAGCTTGGCTAATATTTTATCTTTTAGTTGAATCTGAAATCAGTTTTGCGATTCGAAGAAAAGACTGGTGGGGAACCCTTGAGGACTCTCCTATGCCGAAGACGTGGGGATCAGCCAATGCGAAGTCTCTGACCCACTAACATTCTCTTCAGTTACTCGGTGGACGTATACAGAAACACGGATGATCGAAATAAGAGTTCGAAGTGTCATAGGGCGATCACATTTTTTTTTTATTTTTTTTTTTTTTTTATTTTTTTTTAATGTAAACGTCAGGGTATCGTAAATCGTATGATTCGTTGTTCGTGATGCGTGTCCATCGTGGTTTTCTTCCTGGCCTTTTCGTTGGTGTTACTCTCGTGTTCGTCCTTCTAAATTCAAGGTCAAGTACGGTCACGCTCAACTCTTCCGTCGATGTCACGATCGAACCTCGCGATTTCGACAGAAAGGATGATACACGTTTCGTCGGAAATTATGCATTCAATATCAACAAGGTGATCGGACAAAGAATAGTTTTATTATTAATCCTTTTAATCTCTTAAAAATTTATACAATATTTTTTATAATTCTAAACTATTTTTAAATATACATAAGTATCACTTTATGTAAGCCTATGTCATTTTTAACAAGTCACGACGATTCTCTTACTCGACTCTGTTACAACAGAGAAATATGTCTCTTTAGTGAAAGTGCATCGGATGCAATCGCGTCGAAGCGATCTTCTCACGCGTTATACGTTTCTTTCTCACGTTTCTAAGATGTAAATCTCTCGAACTGCAAGGCTACTTTTTCTTCTTTTTTTTTTTTTTTCTTTTTCTTTTTTTTACACGTCCTTCTCTCATCGTCTTTCTCTTCAAATTAATTTCTGCATTTTTAATAACGTATCTATATACTGAACATGTTTACTGAATGAATCAGATCGAACTATATACTTTCTCTCTCTCTTTCTCTATTTCTCTCTCTCTCTCTTTCTCTATTTCTCTCTCTCTCTCTCTTTCTCTATTTCTCTCTCTCTCTCTCTCTCTCTCTTTCTCTATTTCTTTCTCTCTCTTTCTTTCTTATTGAATAGGTATGTTTACAAGTAAACCAGTTCAAAAGCAGAAACATGCGTCAGCTATCGAAAATTCTCTCGAATATAATTATTGTTTCAAACTAATAATGAATATTAAAATTTTCGATACAAAAAAAAAAAGAAAAGAAAAAGAAAAAAATAAAGAAAAAGAAACAAGCAACTTATATGAAAAGAGATATTTTAATTCTTTAATTTTTTTGTCCTCATTTTTATGGAGTCACATCACATCTAATCAAATCCAACAGGTGTGCCTAGAGCTCTTTAATAAATCATCGTACGATTGTTAAACAGACATATCGATACGTCACGCCCTCCCTGGCTGAATTGGGCGGTCGTGGAAATTTGCCCGAGATGAATAAGCACGTACTCATGCTGACACGTGTACCCGGTGCCGGTGCAGAACTATTGGTGCTGATCCTGCAACGTTTGCAAGGTTACAATGCGTTTAAACATATTCGTTTGCCGGCTGGTGATTCTGGACTTTTGACGACGTTACAGCAGGTAAATCTCAATAATAATCTCTGCAGATATTTCTTCATTTTCTATATCTCTACACTTAATTAATATTTCACTTAATATACTTATTTCTATTTAATTTATTATATCCACATTACACATTTATATATACATATGTATATACTTTCTGTGTAAACAAATTAAAAATATTAAGAATAAAAAATGGATATTTCTATTAACTCTATTTTCTATTAATACAATATTGTATATTCTATTTTTGAAGATTGGATTATTCTATTAACATTAATTTTTTTAGTTAATTATATATATATAAATATTAATAAGAATAAAATAACGTTTTAATTAATATAAAGCAAATCAAAAGGAAATGAATTTAAAGTTAAGATTTGTCCGCATAAGATGTTCACTCTACTACAACCTGTCTATGACTAATGAGCTAAGCAAAATAAAATCAACTAAACGAATATGTACTTACGAAGTTAAGAAAAAATATAAACATAGTGAAGGAAAAAGAGAGAGGAGAAGAGAGAGATAGAGATAGAGATAGAGATAGAGAGAGAGAGAGAGAGAGAGAGAGAGAGAGAGAGAGAGAGAGAGAGAGAGAGAGAGAGAGAGAGAGAGAGAGAGAGAGAGAGAGAAAGAGCAGATCATATCTACGACAATGTTGATATAAAAACTTAACAATGTGAATATAAAAACTCAAAATAACACGTTTTCTTAGAATTATATCTAAACATTCTCTTAACATTCTATATTTACATTTTCTTATAATTATACATAGATTTATTGTAACAATTACGCTATCGATAAAAAAAAAAAATAAAAATATAGAAACACTCTATATTCACCGATAAAGGAAATAGCCGACCGAAGGAGAACGGGAAATGTATAGTAAATATATCGCAATACGTTTCATCTTTGTGAGAGCCACTCGAGGTTATTTCTCATAAATGGAAAACGTTTGAATACCTCTCAAAGAATACATTTCGCGTTACGTTATTGCAAATATTTATAAATAACTGTTAACATCGAATAAAAGTCTTTTGTACGCATATGTGTAAGTACATATTTATTTTTTCGACGATCTTTCAAAAGAGAAAATGTGAATGTATCGCGGCGTTGTCTGATCGAATTGCACAAAGATCCGGAAAACCGGTCATTGATCCTTTCATCCGTTCAACAAGTAAGACAAGTATCTTTGCTTTCGTAACTAAAAGTATAGCACTTTCGTCCATTTAACAAGCACTATTGCACATACATAAAAAACATACTTATAACCATGCAATCTATATCCTGATATTTCACAAGTTATGAGATATATATTTGTGAACAATTTATAATTGCAAAATTATTTCAATAATTCTAATCACTTTTTTCGAATATATTCTTTGGATTTTGGTTAAAAAGTTTATTGTATTTTTCTTTTTTTTTTTTTTATAATCTCGTAAGATTGGTTTACGTAAGTCAGAGATAAAATTAACGTAAATGTAGTCATAAAAGAAATTTTTTTTTCTTTTTGAATCGGCAGGAACTACTCGTGGAAGAGATAACAAGTATTATAAGGCAAGAGGCTATACCATTGAGTTTCGATGGCGATATAAGGTTTTTGAATTTTTCTGAATTTGGTCGTCAGGCACCAACTTTCTTAGCCTTAGCAAGGGATCCTTTGGATCCACGTGCTTTGCATAGGTAAGACCAAATTTGTTTTCCCTAATTAATTACACATGTCTTAAATAATGACTCCTTGTTTCCTCAATCGATTTTAAAGAAAATTATTTGTTTATTTTTTCTTTTCTCTTCTTTTTTTTCTTTCTCATTTTCATTTTCATTTTCATTTTCATTTGATTTTAAACAGATATCGGAAAGGCGGGATGGCGGCCGTTCTTTATCGCGGAACGATCTCTCATTTTTGTGGACAGGATCCTCGTTGCTCGTACGTATATCAACGTTGACATAGATAGATATCCAATAACGCGAGTGGAATAACCAGTTTCGTGAGAAGGATTGCGGATGTTTCACCAATCAAAATATATACATACCTCATAACTTTACTTTCGACAGTTGATGCGATTAAACGATCCCATGAATGAGATTACAGAGAGAATACCTTAGAGATATTTTTTCGTCTGTTCATTATTATTACTCGGGATCATCTCTCAAGTTGGCTAAAGGTTACGTAAAGTTACTCTACGTTTTCTTGGTAAAGGTTGCGTAAGAAGATGACTATAGTGAGGGATCAAGATCAATGAACTGCTCCTGAATACCATAAATAGAAACTTGCGTTGTTGGTTGTTAGAGAAATCGAGCTTGTCTTTTGTAATGTTACAAGAGACATCTTTTCTGCTTGAAAAGATGTCATGTTGTAAGGAATAATAGTGATCAATTTTCTTTATGTAATAACAAAATATTCAGATCGAATATCTAGATGCATGCGCACTCGTCTGTTATCTATTTTATATATATATATATATATATATATATATATATTTTTTTTTTTTTTTATCTATAAGGAAAAGAAATAACAAATGGGCGTTACAACGAGCCAAGGCAAATGTTGTTCGATGGTATCCAGTGGTCGGTCTTCTTGATTACATGAAAGAAACTTTACACGTTCTTCAAAAGGAATTTCCGTACTTTTTCACCGGTTCCCTTCGCATATATAATAAGTTGCGTAAGTATCTTGTTTATTTTTTCTTACTTTTTTTTTTGTTTCTTTTTTACTTTAAAACATTTAAATTTATGATAATGCAAAGATTATTATATAAATTTGTTTTGTAGGACCGAAAGAAAATTATTTATCGAAACGTTCGATAAATCTCAAAGCACGAGCGAAAAAGGTATTGGAAGAAATAATGGCGGATGAAGTAGAATTTTATAAGTGGTTGAAATTTCGATTACTTAATCAAACATCCAATAATGGATGATGATCAAGTTTAAAGAATAACTGGTGTTGTTTTTCGAATCATGAAAATTAATTTTAATCTTCCAATTAAAAGATAGTTAAAAATATATAATGATAAAATATTCAATCCTTCGAATGAAATGCCAAAGAAATAAAGTAGTCGAATATGTATGTCATTTGACACAGGATAAATAGAAAAAAAAAATATTATCATATTCGTATGGTGCATTATCCTTCGATTTTGAACGCCTGTTTGTACGTGCAACGCCATCTTGTATCATATCAGTTACTGATATACTTAGATGTTAAGTTAATCAATCCTTGGACACTGTGAATGTATGCATTTCGATAGCAGCAAACGGTAACGATAAAGAATATAATCGAGATCTACATGGATAATATGTTTTGAAAACATATACAATAATTTGAAACATATACATACATTGAAATTGTTTTTCTCGCTTTTTATATCATTTTTCTACGTTGATTTATTGAACATTTGTAGAATAAATACAGAAAATTGTTGAGTCGAGAAATGTTCAGATTTATGCGAGCTTTCTTTTTCATAATTTTTTTTTTTTTTTTACCAAACACTCTTTTTCTTTCGCATTTACAATCATCTCTTTCGAGAAACAACTTGTACAAAAATTATTTCACCTCTTTGAAATGTTATACCTTTGAGAAAAGATATAACTAACGTCATACAAGCTCTTTCAACATAAGCACATAGCGTGTTCATACAAAAAGACGACGATACTATTTATTTACAAAGACAGAAACTTTAAAAGTTTAATTCTTCTTACGAATAGAATCGTTGTATGTTGTAGAAGAAAAATCACATACTTGATAAAAAAAAAAAAAAAGAAAAAAAAAGAAAAAAAAAGAAAAAGAAAAAAAGAAAAAAAGAAAAAAAAAGAAAAAGAAAAAAGACGATGATAATATCAACGACGACGATACTCTTTTTCACTTTTAACTTCACTTCATTTTTTATAAGAACGTCAGATGAAACGAATTTCTTTCGTATGGTAAAAATTTGATAGACGACTAAAAAAAAAAAGAAAAAAAAAAAGAAAAGAAAAAAAAAGAAAGAAAGAAATAGTCACGTTTACATGACGGTTTCTTTTTGTCGATAGTATCTTTAAAGATAAATATAAAAAAAAAGAAAAAAAAAAGTAAAATAAAATAAAATAAAACGAAATCATGGGGCACGGGGAAGCGGATGAGAATGATTGCCATGAGGTTGATGCATGCAACAGGAGAGCAGTATCATGTTGATGTACAAAAGGACGAGCAACAACATGAGGAACGCGTGCCATCACTTCTTCTTTGCGTCCTTCAGACCAGCACCGGCGTTGTATTTGAAAAAGATTATGTCGCCATCCTCGACGACGTAATTACGGCCCTGCTGCCTGTACTTTCCAGCAGCCTATTGAGCAAGAGAAAAAAAACGTAGTGTGTGTGTGTGTGTATATATATATATATATATATGTATGGTTAGATCAAGATGGTACTTAAAAATTATTTTACAAGCTTTAGATAAATAAAATTTGTAAGACGATTAATAACAACGTATGTCGATAAACTTGGAAATTTATAGTTAGATTAATACCTTTACTGCAGCCTCTGAGCCTTCATTTTTAAAATCTTCGAACTTCATAACTTCTGCCATTATAAAACCTTTCTCGAAGTCAGTGTGAATTTTTCCACCGGCTTGGGGTGCCTTTGTACCTTTCTATATAATAAAAGAATAAAAGTTGACGAAGAAAGGCGAGTGAATCATCTTACATACGTGTACACATAGTATAGTCATGAAGCTACCTGAATAGTCCATGCTTTAACTTCATCATGACCGGCAGTAAAAAAGTATTGTAATTGCAATGCTTTGTAACCCTGAACGATGATCTTGTCTAGGGCACTATGAAAGACAAAAAATAAAAAAAAATAAAAAAAAAGAGAAAAAAAAAGAGAAAAAAAAAATGATAATGTTAGATAAATTTCAATGACGTTTATTATTATCGATATTTCGATGAGAGGATCGGGGAATAAAAGAATACGATCGTGAATCACTTGTATTAGATAGATTAAAGTTCGAATCGATAGAGCGGTAAATACAAAGGACGTCTCTTTCAGTTTTGCGGATTGCAAAACGATGAATTCCCGTTCAAAAGGAGGGACGTTCAAAACGTTGGACCATGGAATATGATTGTCTCGGGCCAAATATCGTCTAATGACAGGGTACGTTGGGATGAGCTCTCCCACTTGGTGGGCCCCGACACAACTTCTCGAGACTTCAAGGAATACGCATAAAGCCGAACGACTTAATGCGGTAATTTTATCATTCTGACTCTCTGAGAGACCTACTTTGCCGCCGCCGACGATGACGACGACAACAACGACGACGACAACAACAACGACAACGACGACGAAGACGAAGACGAAGACGAAGACGATGAGGACGACGGTTGTTCTATCTTTGACTTCGAAATAAAATCACGTCCACTCTATTTTCTTTTGATTACGGGGCAAACGTGATTCCTCATCGTCGTCCATTTGATTCTTCTGTAAATTCGTCGAAGAAAAATATTTCCGATAATATCTTATAATTTTACAAAAGAATATCTTAAAACGAATAAAATGATAATTTTATTATAATTGAGAGAATTTATATCTTGAAGATATGAGTCATTACGAAGAAATTTTTCTCCTATTTCTTTCTCTCTCTCTCTCTCTCTCTCTCTCTCTCTCTCTTTCTCTATCTCTCAATGCATTCACTTTTATTCGAACGTCACTCAACATTGTGAATCAAAAAGAAAGAAAGAAAGAAAGAAAGAAAGAAAAAAAAGAAGAAAAAAAAAAAAAGAAAAAGGAAAAATATAATGAAAACGTACGATCACGTACGTAAGCAAGCAAAGCTACACCTACTTTGTTTGTAAAGGATAGTAATGCAATGTCGTAGCCTCGTGTAAACTCGTTTGAACATGACACACGTGCATTGAACACCCTCCGGGTACGATTGACCCACTAGCCAACTCAGCCGTTCTACCTCTCGGCCCTCTTTCACCACAGATTATACCCTCTCCTGGTACGCGCGAGGGCGGCCAGTTTTTATGCAATTTTGTAAGAATTTGAATAGCCGTTCGTAAAAATATAATGCGGTCTCTCTCTCTCTCTCTCTCTCTCTTTCTATCTTATTCTTTCTCTCCATTCTCCTCATCGAAACGACCGTAGTTTTTATTAGTTTCCCTTCGCGTTAGAAAGAAAAAAAAAGAGAGAGAGAGAGAACTAGTCTAGACGTTCCAAGAGTCGTCCTCAGCCATTATTAGTACGGTTAGAAGATAACTCGTTGCATACTTAAATGTGGGAACGCCTGTTATTCCATGGACCTCACTCTCATTCTCTCTTTTTTTCTTTCTCTTTCTTTCTCTTTGTGGATTTTAAGAAAATCCGACTAAACGTTTCAAAAAATTAGTCCAATATAACGAATTTTCGGCTTCGAAATAAAAACAATCTTTCCTTTGTAAACACAAGTTATCGTGAACATAGGGAAACAAAGTTGAAAACAATTAATGACGATGCCTACCAAGTGACCTTCTGTTCCTCGAAATATTTTGCTCGTTCTGCGTCGTCCATGTCGAGTATTTTATTTTCGAAAGCACCACTGAAAGGTATTAAAACGGCTCCAGGATCGTTCTTATCCACCCATTCTTTAATCTTGACTAACCTGAAAAATCGATAATATTCGATGAGGATTTATAAGTTTTATCTTATTTAGATATATTTGTTCTTTTTTAATATATATATATATATATATAAATATTTTTCAAATATAATCGTGAAAATGCATCATGAAATATAAAAGATTATAAGGGCTCTGAATCATGCATTAACTTAACGACGAGTATGCGCGATAGATAGGCTTACTATTCAACTGCACTTTCCCACGATATCATTTTCACAATGCACGTCTGTAAATCGTTGCTGAATAATAGATCGACGAAACTATTCGTGTTAGTGAGCCCTCGAGCGTGCGTACGAATACGCGTTTACATGTCGACACGCACGTATAAATAATTCCGTTCTCCACAGTGTTTTGCAACGCGCTTCACCGACCACGTCGATAGAAACGTCCGGAAAATGAAACGACGAGTATTCTGGAATATCTAGTCGATTTATCGTAGAAAATAATATTATCGATTTGTACAATCTTCGTTTATCTTTATAATCAGAATCTTAATAGGAACAAAAAAGATAAAAATACTTTTATTTTATCCTTCCTTTTTGTTTTTTCTTTTTCTCTACATTTTCGTCTTATGACGTTAGAACGAAACGTACCATTTGTTCTTTTTACGAATGTAATCCTTCTCCGAAAGATTGACCAGATAAATAACGGGTTTCGACGTGAGGAAGAGATATTTGTTGAGTACGTCGATCTGCAATCAAATGTTAGGGACGATCATCAACGTGCGTTGTTATCGTTCTATAACGATCGAACGAGCAAATTGCATGTTTCTTACTACATTGCGAAGGAAAACTCGTAAACTTACATCATTTGCGCTCCAATCGGCGTACCTGATATGCTTCTTGTCGTCTACCAAAACACCCTTAACTTTTAAAAGTGTATCCTGTCGACAAAAAAGGAAGAAAAAAAGAAAATAAAATGAGAGAGAGAGAGAGAGAGAGAGAGAGAGAGAGAGAGAGAGAGAGAGAGAGAGGAAAAAAAAAGTAAACTACGAAAATACTATTAACGATTCGCCGCGAGTCGTAACACGCAACGTCGAATTATCTACGGAGTACTAGTTAAAATCGACTTGAAATCAATCTAGACGATGGCTCGATCACGCGAGTTTGGGAGTTTCACTAAATTGAGAAGTCGAAAATTGCTTGGAAATCAATCAACGAGAATCGAGTAAATTTGCTCGGAGAAAAGTTCGTCTATACGAATTCTCTTAATTTACATCGATCAAATACGATACAAATGTTAACATTAAAACTCACGTATTCGGGCTTCAATTTCTTGTCGTTACCACGGACAACCAATTTTTCCAATTTCTCAAGATGCCCATTTAAAAACTCGACATCCTTCAGTCGCAATTCCTCGCTGATAATTTCCAAATCTCGTACAGGATTAACGTCACCTTCTACGTGAGTAACATCGTCATCTTCGAAAGCTCCTGGGAATGGTATGATTCGTTTCGATATCTAATTATTCAAAATCATTTCTATTATATACGAATATAATAATTGAAATATCATGCTCACGGCAAAGGTGAAAAATTCCGTCGCAGGCACTGATGTGAGAAAGAAAAGCATTTCCTAAACCCTGTCCCTCGGCAGCACCCTTAACAAGACCAGCGATATCGACTACGTTCAAAAATGCTGGGATTTTGCTAAGAGAAAACAAGAAAATACAAATGAATGTAACTAATATATATATATACATTTTCTTTTTTATGTATTATTATCCTCTTAAGGGAGTCGTACGAATGTCTCTCTCGAATGAAATTTTTTTCAAACGCGTTCACGTTTCCCGTCCTCCTTCGTATTATTCGAAAGAAGAGAAAGAAAAGAGACAGAAAGAGACAGTGAGAATTCCGATTAAAGGTCGAGGGTGTACGCTGTCATGCACGTGCGTTGCATGGAAACGAGGGTGGGTAGTGACAACGAGGCACATTTAAATGCTAATGCCAGCGGCCTCATTAAATAATTAGCCTTTGAAGAGTGGCGTCGGGAAAAGCAAACGAGAAGGGTGGTGAGGCCGCGTTAGGCGGCTTTCATCACGGATCGCCGAATTCTCGGACACGTGCCATCAATGAGAGTATACGATACATCGTGAATGAAAGTATGATGATCGTATTCGAAAAGTTCGAGAGGGGAGGTGATGATGTGTATGTGTGGAATGGGTGGTGGAGGAGGGAGTTGAAATAGCTTTCTCCTTTGATCAACGAACTTATTTCAATGTTTTTCATTCGCACGTTTACCATTGGATGAGTTTCTAATTCTTCTTTTTTCTTTTTTTAAGAATTATTTCTAATTTCCTCTCTCTTTCAATTAT